GAGGACAACATTGAGAGTTTGGGCTGTGGCAGCAGGGAGTGGGTAGTCCAGGTCCCTCCTTGCTGGATGTTGTCCCTGAGCCTTGGTATCCAGATGTGCTAAACAGAGATCGTTCCCCAATGCCAGGGGACTGCTGGGAGCAGGAGGGAACTTCACATGTCACAAAGAAGCTCACGAGCTGGGCACAGTGGTGCACGCCTATAATCCCAGAGACTCAAGCGGCTGAGGCAGGAGGATGGCCAGTTCAAAGCCAGCCTCAGCAACTTATGGAGGCCCTGTCTCAAAATAAAAAGGGCTGGGGAAGAGCTTAGTGGCTAAGTGCCCCTGGGTTTAATCCCTAGGTGCTCAGTGTGGGCCTCAGCTGAGCTATGGGTGGTGGCACCTCTGCCCAGGTGAGGAGCAGCTTCGGAGGCCAGGAAGGAGGCCTGCATCCTGCTGCGTCCCCAGCACTGGGGCAGAGCAGGTGCAATACCTGCAGGACAGTCCAGTCCTGGACCAGTGGCCACAGAAATCCCCAGGGAACAGGGGACATGTTCCAGGCCTCCTCTCTCTGAGCTCTACAAGGAGGGGTGGGGTCCCCTCCCTGTCAGATTCTCAGCTCTTTGAACAAAGGCTCTGCGGGGACTGCCCCAGGCCAGGCAGCCCACAGCAACCTTATCTTCCAGGGACATGTCTTCCTCCTCCTGCCTCTTCCCTCCCCCCGCCAGGGCTCCCCACACCCCCTTCCTTCCCCCTCTGAACTCTTCTCTCTGGAAACATCCTGGGGAGGCCAGACCCTGGGCAGAGTGGGAGGGACCCCCGTGAGCTGGGCCAGGCCTGGGTTCCCTCCACCTTGGTCCTGTGGGGGCCGCCTAAAGCCACAGTCTGTCAAAAGATGACCTGCTTGTTTTTGACACAGGCTCTTTTAGTAGAAGATCAGCTACAACCAAGGTATCCCCTGAAGCCTCTGAGACAGTGCCAGGGTAAATTGGCAGCCAGGGTCTGTTCAGCCACCTGAGCACCTTTAGGGAATCCTGTTCCATACTGATGTCACTGAGGAGGAGCCTTGGCTCAGAGGCGGCCCAGGACCCCAGGGCAGAGCAAGGACTCTATCTGCTGGCCCTGGGGCCTCCATGCTCCTGAGGGACAGGCCAGAGGTGGGGGCATTTGCTCCTGCTGTCTGTGCCAGCGCTGGGCTGCTGGGCCGTGCCCTAGGTTGCAGGTGGGGGCTTAGGCTGAGATGTTGGTGGCTTGTCTAAGGTCACGGCAGAGCCAGGCCGAGGGCTCCTGTCCTGCTACCCAGTCCCATCTGAGATCCTCACAGCCTACAGCACGAAGAGCAAGAAGGCATTGAATCACACTCCTCTGGTCTTCAGGTCTTTTGTAAATCCCCCAAGCCCCACATCAGTCCTGCAGGGTCACAGGTAGGGCAGTGAGGAACAGATTCCCTATGGGAAGCTTTGTCCTTGGGCTCAGAGCCAGAGAAGCAGCCGTGTCAACGGACTAACATCCCAGACAGCAGTGGCAGGCTCTGGGATCACGGAGATTGTGCCAACTACACAGTGGTAGAGGGGGAGGGGATCCAGTTTTTCGGGTTCCCCATGGGAGGCAGGTGATTCTCGAGCCTACTCCAAGGATCTCCTTGGTCCCCCATGTCCTCCTCACCCCTCAGCCTGGCAAAGTGACAGGAAATCAGCCAGTTCCATGGCCAAGCTCTGAAGTCCTCAGTGGGAACCAAATGCACCCAGCAAACTTCCTTTTAGCCCCTGTTAGCTGAGTTTAAAAAAAAAAAAAAAAACAGGAACCAATCACCTACAGTGCAGTTAATTAACAACCACTCGGTTTTGATTCACACGGACCGTTCTGAGAAAGAGCTAGGAGCAGAGATTGTGAAAGAAGCTCCGGTTTCTTCATAAAACAGAGGTGTTGATGGTATCAGCCTCCGGAAGGAGGCCCCATTAACCTCCCATCCTGATGGAGGGTCCCCTGACCCTGGTCAGATTCCAGCAGCCAGGGCCCTACCTGCACCCTGACAGCCTCCTGCACCCATCTTCTAGGTGGAGTCAGGATCACGGGGCTTTGGTCTTCCTGGATGGAGGTAACGCCTGTGGGGATGAGTCTGATTTTGTGACCTTGAGCTTGTGACCGCGGCGGCCACCAACCTGGGTTTGGTTTTCCTATCTCTCAAAAGAGACGGTTGGGCTAAGATTTCTAAACTTCCCTTTTGCTCTAAAATCCCATGTAGGATTCGTTGACCTTCCGCGAGGGACTGGCCCACCTTGGCTAAGACACTCGGGTTCCCTTTTGGGGAAGGTTGGGTAAGATCGAGCCGATTCTCAGGGTCAGCTATGGAGGACCCTTGGGACTTCCTTTATGTTTAAAGACATGAGGGGACCAACAGACTGAAACCCTTGCAGCTGGGAATGGTGGGGAGAGGAGCCGGGCCGTGCTGGGGGCCCTGCGGAGAACTCAATGTCTAAAGTGAGGGAACCAACTTCTGGGTCTGTGTCCACAAGCCCTGAAAACAGGATTTCAGAGAGATCTTTGCACACCCACGGTCACAGCAGCATTGTCCCCAGTGGCCAAGCGGTGCAGTCGGTCCCCATGAGTGGCCCTCCACGGGGAGACATTATTAAGCCTTAGAAAGAAATCTGCCATTTGCAACGACAGGGTGGACCTTGATCCCCTATGTAAGTACCTAGGACAGGCAAATTCAGAGACTCATTCAGACGGGAGGTTTCCAGGCGCTGGGAAAGATGGACATTGCTCATAGGTACAAAGCTCCAGGTTTAGAAGGTGTAACAGGTGCAGGATGGCTGCCCAACAATGTAAATAGACTTCATGCCACAGAACAGTACCCCTAAAAATGCCTAAAATGAGCTGGGCACAGCAGGACGCACCAGTGATCCCAGCTCCTCAGGACACTGAGGAAGGACAATCTCTTGAGCCCAGGAGTTTCAGGCCATCCTGGGCAACATAGAAATATCAAAAAAAGGGGTGGCAAGAGGTTGGGGGGTGTAGCTTAGGGGTAGAATGCTTACCCAGCTTGTGTGAGACCCTAGGTTCCATTCTCAGCACCAGAGAAAAAAAAATACAAAATGGTAAATTTTGTGAATATGTGTTTTATCACAATTTAAAAAGGTGAGCCAAAGAAGCCCTTCCTGCACATCTCTGTATTAGCACCAGAGCAGCTCCCACTGGGTGGAATTTCTGGAATGAAGGAACACAAAGCCCCTCTCCATACCAGGGGGGAGGTTTTCTGCTGTTTCTGCCAAGGGTGTAGATGCTGGACCAGGTGGAGAGTCCAGACTGGTTTCCTGGTCCCAGAGCCTTCCCACGGACCCTGGGCAGCCCACCCTGCTCTCCACAGAGCCTTGAGAAACCATCCACACTGATTTCGGTGCTTTTGCCAGTCACACCTAACTCAGGTATGGCTCTCTGACTTCCTCCAAGATCTCTCTGCAGGGCCACCAGCACGTGGACCCTGAGTCTGAGAGCAAGAAAGGGCTAGGAGAGTCACCTATCTCCGTGTCCAAGACGTTGCTTGGGAGTATTCTACCAATGACCTACTAGGCAAGAGCCAGCAGGTGCAGCGCAGCCAGCTTCCAGTAGCCACCAGGCCCACAGGCTGGGAATGTCGTTTAATTTGCCCCAAAGATGTTCTTTCCAGAAAAAAAAAAAAAGCACTCCACCAGGTACCAATGGCGCATCCCCAGTGCCTCCTTAACCAGCCTGCTTCCGAGTGAGGGGCTCTCCCCAGGAGCCCACAGGACTCAGACACGGCCTTTGCCCCCCCCCCCCCCATAGGTAGAAAAGTCCAGGGACAATTACAGCGAAGAGGAACCCGAGACAGCACCTCCCGCCTGCACTCCTGTTGTCCAGGAGGCTGGAGCGGCTTGTGCTCTCCCCGCCGTGGACTCCAGTGTCAGCGTCCCGGGAACCCAGTGCCGAGGGCGGTGTGTGCACGCACTGCCCATGTCCCTGGGAGAACTCGGGTGGGTGTGGCTTGGTGTGGCTTGGTGCAAGTTGACCGAGACGCAGGAGCTCGGGCATCTCAGCCCAGGCGGTGCTTACCGCGGTGTCCCCCCGGACCCCGCTGGAGACATCCCTAGAAGGCTGCTAGTCCACCTGTCCCTCCTGACCCAGCCAGAGGAACTAAGTGCCCTGCTTTGAAAGGATCTCTCAGTGAGAAATGCAGATTTAAAGGCCGAGCGCCCACCGCCCCTCAGCACTCACCGCGGGAGCGGTCCCCTCCCAAGCGCTGCGCAGGGTCCGCGGGAACCTCCAAGCCGTCCGTCCCTGCGGACCGGACTCGACTCGGTCAGCCTCGCGACTCTCTGCACAAATAGACACTTCTCCTTTTCTCTCTGTGTGTCTCTGTGTTTTTTTTCCTCTTCTGTTCCCCTCCCTGATTTTCAATCTGATTATTTGTGTCAAAATCTGGCGGCGAAGCAGCAGCCAATGGAGAGAGCGCGCGAGCCCGTCCGCATTTGCTTATCAAAACTTCCAGGACCCAGTCGCTGCTTTCTCATCTCTCACCCTCCGCTCGCAGATGAAATTCTCTCCGGAGACTTCGAATAACATCTGGGTGAAAAAGAAAGAATGGCTAAAGTATTGGAGTTTTAAAATCAAAGTGAAATCGAAGCATTTACTTGCAATACCCAACTTTGTACACAGAAATCATAACTTTCTTGACTTTTTCTTCTTTCTTTCCTTTTCTCTTTCTTCCCTCCATCTTATCTCCGTTCCCTCTTCCTTCATTTCTTTTTCTTCCTCTCCTCTCCCCTCTCTCTCTCCATCTTTCTTCTTTCCCTCCTACCTTTCGTCCCCATCCTCTCCTGTCTTTCTTCCCTCCCTTCTCCTCCAGCCACCTCCCTGCCTCCTTCCTGCCTCTGTCCCTCCCTTTCTTCCTTCCCTTCCCTTCCCAAATCAGCATCCTGCCCTTGGGCTGGTGGGGGAAGTGGGCCCTCTCTGTGGAACCCAGGGTTGGGAGCATGGGGACCATGTGGAGCTGGCCACATGCTCAAGGCGTATTTGAGAAGAGGGAGATGCACATTTCCCCAGGCGTGGCCGCAGCACGGACAAAGGAGCAGCCCAGTATGGAGTGAGTCTGGGGGGCCACGGACCCTCTGCCTGCGGAAGCCCACATACAGATTGAGCCCTGGGACCCAGAGCTGGCGTGTGCTGCCATCTGGTGGCAGTCGAGGAGTCTGAGAAGCCAGTGAGGGCCTCGGGGGTGCCATCAATAGGGGAAAGCTTGGCAGCCCTCTGGGACATTTCTTTCCGTTGGCGCAGAGCCCCATGCGCTGGTCCCCCTCCTCCTTCCTTCTTGTCCTCCACCTCCTCCTGCTTTCAGGCAACCGATTTATTTCAGGAGGTTTTGCATAAGTGGAGAATCTCACAAAACAGCACTGTTAGCTCATTTGCATGTCCTTGCAGTCTGGCAGCGAGAGGGATTACATTTCACTCCTAAAGAAAACAAGTTTGTGGACAGGAAGCCCTGACTTCAACTGCGAGTCCAAGGTTCGGGGTGGAATGACAGGGGCGAGGCCTTGCTGCTGCCCAGCCCAGCCTGGCAGCCCGGGGGCCCTACACACACCAGGGTGTGATGCTGCGGACCCAGCCCCAACTACAGGCCAGGCAGGAGACAGTGTGCCCAGCCCCTGCAACTCTTAGCAGAAAGAGATTCAGGGAATCATCATGGGGACCTTTGGATGATGCACATTACTGGCAGTCATCTGGAACTGTTTGCCACATCCCCGCTGCTGTCACAAAATGTCACTGACCAGGAAATTTATTTCTGACAGTTCTGGAGGCTGGGAAGCCCCAAATCAAAGTGCTGGCAGATTTGTGCTCTGTGCTTCACAATGGTGCCTCGTGCCATCCCTCTGTGTGGCAGAGGCCTAAGAAGACCCTGAACGTGGCAGAAAAGGCAGAAGGACAAAAGGTTTGATCCCTCTGCCTCCATCCCTTTGATGAGGCACCAACTCATCCATGAGGGTAGAGCCTTGGAGGCCCAGGGGCCTCCTAAGTCCCCACCCCTTGTCCCCATCGCAATGGGCCTGCAGTTCCAACAAGGGTTTGGGAAGGACAGATTCAGATCATAGCAGGTTTCAAATAACAACAAAGAGAAGCCCTATCAGCTCCTTCGTGGCCCAGAGGTGGGACAGAGAAACCTGACTTTGACCATTTGGGGTGGGGGCAAGCACTGAGAGGTAAAGATAGCATGCAGAGGGATCCTGGGGCTTTGGGAACAGATTCAGAAGTGGAGGGTCAGTGGAAGAAGGGATATTCCAAGTGATGCTGAGGTTCGGTTAGTTTGGAAAAGTAGGGAAGAACAACTGAAAAGAGGAACAGCCTGTGCTAGTGCTGGAGGCCAGGACCCCAGGGAGCTGACAGCCGCCAGGTTCACTGTGGTGGAGCATGGAGACCCAAGGAGTGGGAGGGAGGGATGGGGCATTGGAGACACGGAGCCTGGAGGGGAGAGAGGGAGCAAGATTCCTCCCTGCTTTCAAACCTTCCCTTCAGTGTCAGTTCACTTTCAAATGACAGCACTTTTTCTGGTTTATAGAAATTCAATTTATATTTATTTAATAATTACAAAGCAGTTATTTAGTGTCACTGAAAGTTGTCAGCTTCAGGCATGGCTGGATCCTGTAGCTCTGATGATACTATCTGGAATCTCATTTATTTCTGTTTCAGAACACTTGCATCTGTCATTCCCTCTGTCTGGATGGACTCTCCCGTGTCCCGGTAGCAGGATCTTTCCTGTCACTCACATCTCAGCTGAAATGTCACCTCTGCAGAGAGACCTCCTTGGCCATCAGCTGAAGTCAGATTTCTCTTTCCGTTCTATCATCCTGCCCATTTTCTTCCTAATGGTCATAATTATCTGAATATATATTGCTTACTTATCTGCCTGTTTATTTATTAGGTCCGACTTCCCCAGGAACTTAAGCACCAGGAGGGCAGGGACTGCATTTTCCTGGCTCACAGCCAAACCTCAGTGTTTGTGACAGTGTATTACGGACACTACCGACACTGACACAGAATGAATGAATCTCCACCTCTCAGCTGTCTCCTTTCTGCAGCCTCGGGCTGAGGGACCCAGTGTCAAACACAGTGTCACCAGGCTTTCCTCCAGGTGCTTAAACACTTGGCTGGAGAAAGCCCCCTTTTCAAAACTTCCAAGAAAGTCTTCAGGTTGACTCTGATTGGCCCATCCTGGTCACGAGCACATCTCTGCACCAATCACTGAGTCCAGGGGGAGGGATGAGGGCCTCTTGCTGGCCAGGGCTGGCAGACCTTCCTGTCCTGACTACAGGAGCTAGGAGCAGTAGAGGGTGGAGGGTTGGGGCCAGGACAGAGTTGCCACCACACCACTGAAAGGCCGTGGCTTCTGCCTTCCTCCTAACTGTCTTGTTGCTGACTCTTGAACGTGCTGGGTTTTTTTTGTTGTTGTTGTTTTTTGTTTTTTGTTTTTGTTTTTCCCTTTTGGAGACCAAATCCCAAGTCCTGCCTTTGCCCTAAACTCTGTGTCTAGAAAGTTGCTCTTCATTCTTCTCTACATCCGGGTCAGCTCTCAACTCCTCCAGGAAGCCCTCCCAGACCCCCCACACCCCCACAGGGTTCTTGTTTTGCTTGGCTGCCCACCGGAGGGGACTTGCTTACTTCTCAAGGAGACCAGCAGCAACTTGAGCAAAAATGTGATGGGTCCTCTCTCAGCCTGCAGTGGGCATGGCCTGGACCTCAGTGGACATCAGCTACAGGAAACATAATCGGGGCTGAATGAACAGGAACCTCTGTGCCCAAGGGCTGGGCAGTGTGCACTGTGCAGAGCTGTTTAGGAGGCACGTTCAGGTGGCACGGAATGCACTGTGTGGGGTGGGAAAGCACTGGGGGTAAAGGCACTGGAGGGGTGGGTGGCAGGGCTCTGGTCCCAGATCCACTTGGGTGCTTCCAGAGAGCTGGCTGGACGCTAAGGCCTTTTCTTTTTCTTTTTAAAAAAACAGGGATTGAACCCAGGGCCCCTTAACCACTGAGCCACATTCCCAGCCATATATATTTTTTTTAAATTTTTATTTTTGAGACAGAGTCTTCTAAGTTGCTTAGGGCCTCGCTAAGTTACTGAGGCTGGCTTTGAACTTGCAAACCTCCTGCTTCAGCCTCTGGATACACTGGAATTTCAGGCCACACCATCACGCCTGTCCGTGGAGGCCCATCTTCTGTGTGCGTTTCTTGCTGCCAGAAAAACGCCCTTTTGCTCTGTTCTGCCTGTCGTGTGTGTGTGTGTGTGTGTGTGTGTGTGTGTGTGTGTGTGCTGTCCCTGTGACACCTGGCAGCAGGCAGAGAAGTGGAAAACATCCACTTGGTTGTCAGGTGGATTGTGGAACCCTTCCCAAGCCCAGGCTCCTAGTCACTGGCTGCTGGCGGCTGAGCTGCCAGGAGCCCAGCTACACACCAGCTTGTGCTCCTGACTGCTGGCACTGCAGACCCACGGCTCCATGGAGAAGCAATTCCCCCTGTCGCCACATGGTGGCGCTCCTGTCTCCTTTCCTCTAACAAAAATCTGAAAACAGTCAAAACAGATCTGTCTATATTTTAATAGTATATTATTCGTGTGAATTAGGCAGGCTCCCCTGGGCCTCAGGCTTTCCACCTGTAGAATGGGCTGAGGATAGAATGGGCCGTAATGCAAACCATTTTATAAATACTAAAATGTGTGAGCTGTTATTTCTCACCAGACACATTCAACAGCTGAGTACAAACTCCCTTTCCCTAATTGGATAGTCACAGGAGCCTCAGCTGCTTGCGGGGAGGAGCGGGACACAACAGGGTCAATGTCAGCCAGTTCCTATCAGGCAGACTGTGCTGATTTACATGACAGGTTGATTATTAATGGAACAGCTGACATCTGGCTACTGCTCCATAAACTTCCCATAACTTCCGCATTTGTATTCCCTCTGGGGACTCCCAGAAATCCCGCTTAGGCTACAGAGACGGAGGAGGAAGAACGAGGGTTTTGGAAATTTACCCTAGGCAGTGGCTAAGTAGGGTGGAGGGGCTCCATGGTTTCTTCTCTTTTAATCCTTGGGAGCACCTTGGGACTTGGGATTTGGGGGAACGTGATCAATAAGCCATATGATGGGAAACCAGGCACCAACCCCCAGGCACAATTGGCACCATGGCCAGTCTCTACAGCCCTAAGTGGGGACCATGTGCCTGATCCACCAGGGCACAGCCAACTCCCATCTCAGGATGTGCACCATGTTGGCACCCAAGTCTGTACCCTTCCTGGCAAGCCGAGTGTGTGTGTGTGTGTGTGTGTGTGTGTGTGTGTGCGCGCGCGCGCTCGCGCGTGCATTAGCCAGCCTCAGGGGTGCACAGTCTCCCATGGGTTTGCCCCCTGGAGTAGCACCCTATCAGGTGCTGGCCTTGGTCCCCTGTATCAGGGAGTTTTGGCCTGGGGCAGAGCTGCAGACTCCAGACGCTGGAAGCAAATCCTCAAAGGAAGGAGAAGACTGAAGGAGAAAGCTACCCCTTTGCAAAGGACTAGAAATGCAAGCCCATTTGGGAAAGAGCCCATCTATACCTGGGGGCTCTACCTCAATGCTGATCAGCACAGGACCCCGGGAAGGTGGAGGCAGAGGTGAGATCAACACCTGGAGCCTTCAGGCAGCCAGGGTTTGCACCTGATTTCCATCCCTTTTGCATGTACCCGCTGCCTTTAGAGATTTTCTCAGGCTACAGTTTCAACACAATCCCCTGGAGGATGGAGACTCTCCACCTACTGTTTCTTATCAACCCAGAGGTGACCCTCCCGCCCCACCCCACATCAGAGGAAACCGGGGGACCACAGTGATACAGACTTGAAGGTTGTATCTGTAAAGGCATTTCTGCAAGAGGATCAGTTTGAAGTTTTAAAAGGATATTTGTAATATGCTCATTTGGAAAGCAGGAGAGAGGCCTTTATAAACTATCCACCCAAATTCAGCAATTCCACTTCTAGGCACATGCCCAAGAGCATTGAAAGCAGGGAGTCAAAGAGATATTTGTACCCAGATATTTATAGCAGCAATGGCCAGGAGTTGGAAGCAACCAAGTGTCCATTGACAGATGGCTGTCAAGTGTGCTTGGTGGCTATTCAAACACCTGCTACAGCAGGGACGTTACTCTAAGTGAAAGAAGCCAGACACAGGCAAATACCAAGGGACCTGTGTCTAAGAGGTACCTAGAGTAGTCAATCCATAGATTCAGGCAGTGGTGGGTGGTGGCCAGGGACTGGGTAAGCAGGGGGCAGTTAGTGTTTATTGAAGACGAGTTTCAGTTCTACAAGATGAAAAAGTTCTGGAGAAGGATGGTGGTGCTGGGTGCCCAGTGATGTGAAGGTACATAGTGCCATTCACACATGGTGTTCGTGGGAAATGTTATGTGTGTTTACAACAATTAATTTTTTAAATACATGAACACGCTAGGGATGTAGTTCAGTGGTAGAGCGCTTGCCTCACATGTTCAAGGCCCTGGGTTCCATCCTCAGCACTGCAAAAATATAAAAAGTAAGTAAAAGTTCAAAACAATACACATACATGCAAAAATCACACCCAAGGCCTACATTTTTCACAGGTGGGGAAAATCGAGATATGCAGGGAAGGTGAAGCCATATCTGGAGCCCAGAATCTCCCCACTTCATGGTCAGGACCTCAGACTTTCCTTCACTAAGTATTAGAATTATATTTTGATCTTCAAATTTTTAAATTTTTATTGCAAAAAAAATTCAAACAGAAAAGGAAATAAACCATATCTAATGAACACACCTATCCACCACTGGTATTTTATAAGAGCATTTGCCAAAAAAGCCTTATCTCCCTAGATGCACATATAAGCATATAATGTTTGGTTTTGATAAAGCATTTTGAAAATACATTGCAGCAGACCTCATGATACTTCCCCCCACAGTTACCTGCAATGTCGTTATTGCAGGTAACGTTACTAAGGAAGTTGTCAATAGCTCCCTAGTACCACTGAACACCCAATCCATATTACACCTTTGTAATTTCCCTGGTTTTCTTTGACATTCTTCTACTTTGCTGTCGGAATCAGGACCCAGACAAGCATCAGGAATTGCATTTGCTTCCCGTTCTTCAGTCTCTTAATAGTGGAACAGCGCCCCCTGCCGCTCCCTTTTGTTACTGCTTCCCTCCTCACAAGAGCCCAGGCCAGTCTAGTAAGAAGGTCCTACATTCTGGATTTGCCTGGTTCCTTCCTGTGGTACTCTTCCACCTATTCCCACATCCCGTATGCTGGAACTCAGGTCTAAAGCTTGATTATGTTCAGGGAAGATTTTTTTTTTTTTTTTTTAGCATATCTGTGTCACAGGGATGCCGTGAGCTTCATAGCATTAGGAGATGCCTAACATCCGGTTGTCCCACCTCAGTGATGCCAAGTTTGGTCCCTTGGTTACAGTGACAGCCAGCTCTTTCTGCCATAAAGCTGAGTTCAGAAGCAATCTGTGGGGCAGGACTCAACAGCTGGGCATCCTGTAATGGACATGCACAGCTGATCCTTAGTGGCACCGATGACTTCATTGGAAGTTGCCAAATGGAGATTCTTCCCATTTTAACAAGCCCTCTAACTTTATTATGTGGCATTTTCTTCTGTAAAGAGGAATTTTCTCTCATTAACTGTGCTAAGTTTAGAGGTGGTTTGTCCTGCAAGGGCTCATGTGACAGAAGCTTCGTCCCCAGTGTGGCAATGTTGAGAGGTGGTGGAACCTTTAACAGTTTGTTTCCTAGACTGAGTTAGTTCTCGGAAGAGTGGGCTGTTACCAGAAGACCAGGACCGGCCCCTCCCTGCTCTCTGGCTTCCTGGCCTGCTCCCTCCTAGAGGCACTCCGGGTGGGAAGCCATCGGCCATG